AGGTGGCGCGTGAAGCAGCTGGGCCAGGGCAATGACGACGTCGACCCGCCCACGGCCGGGCAGCGGGGTGGCGGGTGGCGGGCAGCCGGGCTTGTCTGAAGCAAACGTGGGCCCAAGGGTGCAGTTATCGCCATTAAAATAAGGGTGGCCAATATTGGTGGTTAATAACTGCAGTGTCCAACTGAGAACAAAATGCTGGCCTTCATTGGTGCTTCTCAGTGTTACCACCATTCTTCACCTAAGGATGGTCATCATCCAAATTGGGTCCCAAGGTCAAATTCTAGTGGGGCGTTCCGAGTGGAGTCTACCTTCCAAATCCTGCATTTGGTTCCTCAACGGAGAAGCTCCAAAAGGGCTCCCTTGCTTTTGCGGGGTGAAAATTCGGGTGCAGAGCCCCAGCGAGTGTCGTAGAATCAACTTGCAACGGGGACTCTCTAGGCTCACGGGTGGAAAGGTTCTCACAAGAGGTGTGGGCACTTCAACCATGGAGCCTTTGGCGCTCCCCGAGCCATAGATTTCAATCACTTCGCTGCCAAATCCCCGACATCCCAAAGCCCCAACCCCCCTACTGCTGGCCTTCCTTTCCTCGCTTTTGCGATCCGGGAAAAAAAGAAACAACAGAAAAAGAAACAACATAAGAAAAAAGAAGAAAAAGAAAAAACAACAAAAAACAACGGCCGAGGTGGCCAGCGCGGGCATTCAGATCCTGGACCTCGAGAAGTACCGGGGCTCGCAGCTGCTCGTGGACCAGGCACCCCAAAAAGGAAGCCTGATAAATGGAAGCAAGGACTAAAACCTGCGGTCTGGAGATTTAATGTTGACCTATACCCATATGAAAGAAGGTGATTGCAAAGGCTCGATTTGTCCATACGGGGCTGGGGTTGGTCAACATTTTGTGTTGACAGCGACCTCCATTGGTGCCTTTGTTTGTTTCCCTTCGAAATCCCGAAATGGGCGCCCTCAAAAGACACCCTGTGACCTGCGCTTTGCAAAGCGGGGTTAAACAGAGATCAGCTCAGGATAAACACGAACAAGGAATCCAGGAACTGGCAAAACGAGCTCCCTCTCAACACAAGAGCTTGTTTGGGTTCCACATCCATGTCGATTGACTCACTAGATTTCTGAGAGGGTTCCAAAAATCCAAACCGGTGGACCCCTCCCAAAATAGAGACAATGGCCGGGTTTCCTTTGGTTTTTGCTGTGAAGACCAACCTACAAAAGGGGGTAGCCTCACAAGCTCGGTCGCGGAAAGGCGGAAAAGCTCCCCCCAAAACCATGCGTTCGTCCGCGCCAGGCGCTGCTGCCGCCAGGCGGGGAGTGAGTTGCTTAGGATGGAAAACCACCTCCTCTTTCCGGAAGAGACGAACGGAACTAGGCACGGGTTCCCAAAACTTCCATCTGCTTAAGAACATCTTGTGTTTTCTTTCTTGTTGGGTTTAATAAGGAATTGACCACTACCGTTTTTTTTTTTCTCCCGGGGGTCTTAACCAAATGGAAGAATAGTTTACAGAAGAAAGACCTATGGCAGGCCGTCCACCAGACGTTTTGGGCAACTCTCCTGTACATTGCGGCTGCATCCCTTCATACGCTCCTTTGAAGAGCACGCGACTAGGTGGAAAAACTATCCCCGAACAGAAGAGTGAACCACCTTCACTTGGGGAGTAAATCAGCCCAAAGCGGATTCCAAATATGGGAGTCTCTTTTTTTTGGGGGTACCCATTTTGGTTTTAAAGCGAAATCAACAGGAAAACCGTTGAACCTTTTTGGGGAGTCCTCAAAGAAAAGCCCGGGAGGCCTCTACGTCTTCACAGTGGAGGTGTGGGACGCGCTCTTCCCGAGTGCCTCACTTACGGGGGGCGGACCCCGAAATGGCTTGGTTTCGGGTGGCTTTCTCAAACCAAAAGTCTAGGGGTACCATCAAAAACGCAGGGGAAACAGCTGGTTTTTGAAATGAGCGATGGTTGAAAAGAATGGGGAATCAACCCCTAGAAAAAGGGGTTGCCCCGAGAATAGACAAGACCCCGCCCAAGATGCTCGGCTTCTTTGCTTATTCTAGACAACCCCAAAAGGGCTACCCCAAAAAAGGACATCTGTTTTCCATTCAAGCATCAAGAAAACAGGTACAATCAAGAAAGACACACCCTTCTGACTTGGTGATTTGCGTCTGTCACACTTGGATCCTCAAACTGGTGACTTTTTCGTGTGGGTCTCTGAGTTTTGGCTGGGCTTGAGGCCTCGTCGCGACAGCCAACACCACCGTGCTGTTGGACAAGAAGGCCGGAGCGCTTGCCTGATTACTCAACTGTTGAGACGTAAACCAGGGGTTTACTTCTCCTCCAAGAAATGTTTTGAGGTGGCTCAGCTAAACGGATGTATTATGAATCATGGGCTTTGTCAGCTCCATCTTCGACGTGAGATGTCTCAAGCGCCCAGTAGAAACAAGACTTGGATGGCCCTGGGTGGCTCCCGAAGCGTTGCGTGAGCCATGGGCCCCGGTCGCAGGACAACCTTCCCGCGCGGGGAACCTCAGACGTCGACTTTGAGTCTGGGCTGGCTCGGGAGGTTCTTGGGCCCAGGGAGCAGGACGGCTCTCTGTTTGCGTCGGCTCAAAGGACCCTCCCTCTTTTCTTGCGACGCCAGAGGCCGGAAAGTTTTCTTCGAGCATCAATTGGAACCTTGTCGCATTGCCTGAATATGCCCAAGTTTCAGGGTTTGGACAATACTTGGTCCCCCTACACACTTTGGAGACCTACCATGCTCAAGCCAAGCGTTTTCGAATGAGAGATCTCGCCGCGCGAGGATGACGGTGGAAGGCCCCACAGGCACTGTGGGCCCGGCGGATCCTGCCGCTCGGCCGGATCCATCCAACGCAGGAAGAGAGGTTTGTCACTCGTGTTCCCCCGGAGGATATGGTCTGAAACCGGGGCGGGGTGTCTCAACAGGGCTCCTTAAAGGACATTTTGGCCATTTGAAACATGGTTTTTTCCACCAAAATACAGGGACACCACCATTTACAAGGCAATGTTCAGGTGTATACTGCAAGGATCCCTGATCAAGGACATGCCAGAGTAAGGTTAAGCGGCAGACGACTCATGGCCTTTCCACTCTTGCATTTGTGGCCGGGTTCCGTGGTACTCATACTCTTTCCTTCATGGATAGTCGTTTGGACGCATCTACACCATAGGGTGACCAACTGATGCAAGGATTTTGCATCAGATGCGTGGCCAAACCTCAATCTTTAGTTATCTTATTGCTGGATTCTTTTTCAGGTAGGCCTTTTCTCTCGTCTTGTTCCGGGGGTGGGACAGCGTTGGCCTTTGGGCTTCTCCAAAAAAAAGTGCCCTGCCGGAGATCCCAAAAGCAAACACGGAAATTGAAAGAGGGTCGCTGTGAGAGGAAAATGGCGGAAAACAGGTGCTCCCCAAAAAGGGTCCGATGCCCAAACAGAGTGCGGGCACTCTACAAGTGGCTTTGTGGGTTCTATGAAAACACATCAATGTTGGTGAGGGAGCTGAGTGGTTCCTTCGAGCTCAGGTCGAAGCCGTGTTCAAGCAGGTCGGTTTCTCCGGCTGCATCGTCCGGCCCACGGGAGTGATGGTTTCGAGTCGGACACAGCATGTGTTCCGGGGCTGAGACGCCACATGTTGAGGTTGCGGCTGGTCATGGCCCCCATAGGATATTTGGACAACCATGGCAAAAGGAACCAGGACCATGATTTATGAGGAGTTTGATGGTGGCACATGTGAGGTTGGTTGTGGCAGGTATGTTTCCCACCCTTTGAATGAAAACCAGAATTTAGACAAGTGCGACAATCCTTGAGGCAGCCAGGACCGTGGCGCTGACCCATATGAGGGACTTTTGACCATATATGTCTGCAACTCATTTGATTTCAAGTGGTTGCAGCTTTGAGATCCAGCAGCTTGTCTCTCACCACCCTAAGGTCCTGAGGTGGTTGTCATCCCCCTTGATACACAAACAATGCATGAACGACTCTTTGTGCTTTGTCACCAAATTGCCCATTGTTTGCCAACACCGTCAACAAGAACACTCCGATGCAGGCTTCCATCGACGGGTGACATTGGGCTTCCCGGTGCAAGGGTCTTGGAGTTGGCTTTTTTGCTAACTCCAACCCAGCAAGCAACCACTACCTCCGTCCAGCAAATGCCATGCCACGCTTCTCGAGGTTTCCTTCCTGGGCAAACAAAACCAACAAGTGGCCCTCAAGATTGGTGACTGTTTTTCCCCATGCAAACAATGTCCACCAAGAACCATACCGACATGATGGTTGTCCAAAACTGGCATGACATTTTTCGATCCTTTTGCGACAAGAACGTGGGGTTCCGTTTTTGGCACCTTGTGCGCAGCCCTCGTTTGTCAGGTAACCCATCTTTTCGCGGGTTTCGATTGGTTTGAGGATTTGAAACCCTTGGCTTGGTGGCTCCCAGGCTTTTCAGCCTTTTAGAGTTTTGTGGGTGTTTCCATTTCACCCACTAAACGTTGAACTTTTAGCAATCCGAGGACAGCCCAGTTGGGTGACCCTTGTTTTTTGTGGGACGGGGGCCACGGCCAAGCCACCGTGGCTCGAAATGGGAAGCCGCAGTCGACTGTAGGTGCCCACCACTGACATCGAGGGCACCCACCACCGCACGGCGCCGGGTCCCGAGCACGCGGAAGGTGAGCTTGGGGGGTCCGTGGTGTTTCAAAGGGCACCACTTGGCATCTTTGCCGAGGGGATGATATGAAGCCACCTGTGACCAATCCAGTCAGAGGCTCGCTTGCCGAAAACGTAGCAGCACGCATAGCAATCACACGCCATCCAATCGCCAAGTCAGTCTCAACACAGATTATTTGTGTGTTTCCTAACTTGGGCACCCCTGTTGCGGGTGATCACGGGAACACGCCAAGTATAAAACTGAAGCCTCCCTCAGACTGATCAACCATACAGCAGACTCCAGGCGTGGCAGACTAGGCGCCTTCTGTGTCTCGCCTCTGAGCCTGCCATGTCGGGCTATGCGGACATCGAAGATGGCCTCCCCAAGTGCCAGAGCAAGGCACGGACTCGACGCCTGGACCCGCCCAAACAGCTGAGTTCCCTCAACGGGAATTCAAGGGGGATGCACCATTTGTTTGGTTTTCTTGACTTCTTTCAACACCCAGGCTGGTGTCCTGTATTCAATCTTCCCGCGTGCGGGTTGGGTTGGTGAGTCGGGTGTGGAGGTTAGCTGCATGCGCGCCCACAGAGGCGCGTCCAATGCTTGGACTTATGGTGCTCATTCCCCCCCCCAGAGTCGTTTTTTAAGCTTTACCTCCCAAAATGGCTTCGGTTTTCCTTTTGGTCTCCCTTTAAAACCACCAAAAACGGGGCTCCCGCTGAACATGGGTGCGTAGAGAGGGATTTCACACCGCGTTTTGGAGCTTGAAAAGGGTTCACGCCCCTTGTCGTTGGCAAAGAGAAACCCAATGCCCGCCCAAGTACTGCTTGAGGGCAACTTATTCCCAATGGTGTTGGCCAAACATCCCTTCCTCAGAAGCTTCCCTCCCTGCCGAAACGAAGCCGCTCCAAAACGCCTCCCAAACTCAGATTCAGGCTTGGCCTTAGGAGGCGATGGGCTGCTGAGCAAGTGGGTAGTCGGTTTGTTGTAGCCCACTTGCCCCTGTTAGAAGTCCCCTCTAAGTGGCTGTGGGTCAAAACCAATGGTACCATCTTGGGGTAGGTCCACCACCCATTTTAGTCTATTTTAGTGGGGATTGGGATGTTCACTGGGGGTACGAGCTTTTGACCCATGGCCAAGTGGGTTACCAGGGCTACTAACTCCTCAGCCGATCGCCTCAAGTTCCGACGTGTTGCGTCAGGAGTCTATGGCCAGTCGGGCGAGCCGCTCTTGCAGCAAGTGCTCAGGCGCGCCTGCGTGCGCCTGCGCGGGCAGGGGGTTTGTGGCGAAATGAACCAGTTCCAGGTTGCCCCGTTGCAAGGAACGCCACATGTTGGGTTTGCCTCAAAATGAGCCTTCGGTCCTTTTGGTTTCCCTTCAAAAATGGCGTGCCCCTAAAAAAGACACGCCCATTCTTGGGAAACAAACAGTTTCCTTCGGCGCGACTTTAAGTTGGCCGGTAGGTTCCCGGGATGGGGCTTGCCCCTTTAAGGGGAGCGATCTCAGAACTGCTGGCTTCGCCGGGAAACACGCGGAGACGATCGTTTGGGAGTAACTTGAGCTCACCATGATGTAGGTCCTTTACAGCGGATCCCTGGTTTTGAACCATAGTGAAGAATTGAAGATTTCAGCAATCTTGGAGACCTGGCTGTCAAGACCCAAGTCCGCTTTGAGGGCACTGAGTTTTTGGGCGGCCAGAAGCACATAGATTCATTTCATCAGCCCCCAAGTTGGTGAGTTTGGAGCGCGTCTGCGATGGATTGGCAAGGTACACCAGCATAGGCAGACTCGCACTATTACCAAACCTGAGGGCTTCAAGAGCAGACCCCTTTTTGAGCTTCCATGGATGCGCCCCTTCTGCTCTTGATTGGAATGTCCCAGAATTTGTCAACAAGGGTCGCTGATTCTTACAGGCTGGGGTTCAAACCACCATCAAAACAATTTGGGTTCATATTTATATTACCATTTTTTGTGTCCCTAAGAATTGTCATCATCGAATTTGGGTCGAGTCCTTGCCATTCTTTTACATGGGCTGAACCCTAGGGCACGCTTGGTCCGGGCCCCGAGCTTCCGTGGGCAAAAAATCCTCCGCGCGCTCGCCCAGCCCCTGCCGGCGGAGTGGCTCCTTGGCCGGGATGAATGATTCGCCGGCTGGTTTAAGCAAGGAGCTCAAAACAGCAACATGCATAGGTGTCCTTTTTGGTTGGTTTGCTACAAAAATGGAGGGCCCTGGTCTAGATGGGGTTTATTCCCCATTTACCAGGGCCATCTATTTTTCCAAAAGGCCACCTATGACAACATGGCGGTGTCCTTTTTTAGGGGACCACCCCGAAATGAGTGTTTGCCTCGTGGCGTCCCTTTAAAACAACTCGAAAAGGGGGGAGTTACCCTCCAAAAACGACACACCTAGGAACGTCCATTTGGGGGCCCCAGAAACAGATTTATTCGTTTCTCGCAGAGTGCGTCAGCTGTGGGGGATGCAACTTGGGCCCGAGGGAAGCTGCTTTCGTGTTCAGAGTCGCGGTCAGGTCCCTCTTCAAAAGGTTGGCACATCAAGATAATCACCAAGTTTATGCAGAACATGGCGGGCAGCCTCCAGACCAAAAGGAGGTCAGTGTTTGGATACATGTATCGAGCGGTTCTCCAAAGCTGGTTGGCCAATTCACGAAG